AGTGAGACTCCTCACTTCCCCCGTTTAAAAACTACAGGCAGCATAGACAGCACTATGCACATTAAAGCAACAAGCTACCATTCCCTCATGAATCAACCACAGCAGCCAAAATCCTACCATTTTAATAGTAGGTTGTAACTACAAGTGCAAAAGCCAATGTTCAACAGTCATGTACTACTAATATTAAGAAATAGTTATTCACATAAACAAGTCAATACCCACATGACCCTTTACTCTCTAGACCAGGACAGCTTGAAAAAAAACAAAAAAACAAAACACAAGACTATAAACTACACAAACTTTAAAGATGAGAGACTTCATAAACATCAGGCTTTAATAACTATTTCGACTTTAAAATAGCACATTATTATTCTTATTAATTTATTATTATCCTATTATTATTATCATTTATTCTCTTTATTATGTATTGTATCTACGACCTCGCCTCCACCATCACACGGAGGTACACACACACACATGCACGCACGTGCCTCTACAGGCGCAGTTAAAATACTCGCTCTCACGCGCACATACACACAAAGAGCGGACCGCACCCAAAAAAAAAAAAACTGCGCAGTATATATTCAGTATATTTACAGTATATCTACAGCCTGTACAAACCATTAATATAACCCAATATATATTTTCTTAAACAACCTTTTATCACATTTCATAAAACATGAACACCACATACAGTATACTCAGCCTATAGTCAAACACACACATTTAAGTCCAGACTATTTACACAAAGCGCTTTAAGTGGGCTTTCACTATACTTGGCCAACAGAAACCGTATGAACCCCGCCAGGTTAATTGCCAAAACTGATCAGGTCTCGACTTAACCCAGCTTATACGCACAACCCTGCAGTCACACTCAACTTTATTTATCCCTGAATAATGGAGTAACTTAATCACTTTGCTGCCAAATCCTAAACTCCAGGGGCGCAGAAGTCTGCCTGCGCTACAGAAACGTTAATCCTAATTTCAACAATTTACTGCAAAATGTACAAATAGTTAATCCTAGCTTGTAACAACAGCTTTTTAACTCCCAATCCTACTTGAGTTATGCAAGACAAATCCTACTGTAGACCCACATGCAGGTCAGACTTCTGCTACACAGCTCCAGCTTTACCAATAATTTTTATCCAATCCAGGCACCTTTATAACTCATAATTTCATGCTATTCAATCCGTTGCTTAACAACTGGGCTTTATCTTGTCCAATCCCAATAGGCTGTATTCCTCCGTTATTTTCCTTAGAGCATCAACCATAAACAGCACAATCACACATATACTTATTTACACAATGTTAATAAATGCTATACCTTCACACACACTCATTCACAGAGTGAGCAGCTCACACACATATCATACAGGAACTAGGTAGCAGAACACACACACAAACGGAGCAAGGAGGGGGAGAATTACTCCCCCAATACCCATTGTTTCACAAAAAATAGAAAATAAATCTTATACTCACCTCAGCAACACAGTAAAGTCTGAAAACACATGAAATTGACACAAGAACAAGAAATTGCAATACACACAATTCTCAATCATCCCTCTGTCCCTAACTTCAAAACACCAAAAAAAAAAAGAAAAAAAAAAGTTCACGTGTTTAAACACACATTAAAGCCCACACTTATTCACATACAGAAAGCGCTTTGAGTAAGAATCCACAAATAGGACAAACCTCTGCTGTTCAATCCGCTGTCTGCCAAATACCTTTTTCTCTGTCAATCCTAATAGGCTGTTTCACAATCACATAAACTTCAGACATGTAAAAACAACATCAATGTATCCTGCAAACATTTAAAGCAAGTTATTTACATCAGTATTAGTAATGATGTTAGTGTTAATGATCGCAGCAGTCTTCCACCACCTGTCAGAATAAAATCAAGTTATTTGGTTCCCTTTACACAAATTCTTTGAGGACAGTCAAGATGGGAGATTAAATGTAAAATTCTCCCAACTTAGGCTCCTACCTACAGAGACAACGCTAAGGTTTGTCGTGGCTAGAGTGTGATGCAGACTAAATTAATTCAGACAAATCATCCCAATTTAAAGGATCATTTAATATTACTATTATTCTGAATAGAGTAGTATTTAAACAGATAATCTTGTAGTTAGGGAAACAGAGAACAGAGACTATCCTCCTGCAGTGTGATAGATGAAGTATTAGATAAGAAGATTGTCAGAAGCGCCAGTCAGTCTAGTCAGTTATTGTTGGTCACGAGGTACCATCAGTTAGAGTTCATAGTCCTGAGTTCGTTTCCCCACCCAGGCCTGGGTCCCCCGGAACACTTTTCACAGTAGCATTGTCATCCTCTCTTCTTAGCTATCCTAGCCTTTTATCTGCTCGCACTTACACTCCATGGCCTGAGCATGAGAGACAGTCTCATGCCAGCTCCACACACCTTC